TAAAAACAAGAGGTAATGTTGTAATAAAACAGCAGTAGCCTCAGCTAGCAACATACTGTTTGTTAACCCTGTGCAATAAAATACTTTGTTCATACTACACTTATTCAAACATGACTAACAATTACTACAGACATTTCAGGAATCTTCACGGGACTCCTACAGACTTAATGTTAAAACTGAGAGACATTTACAATCATAATGTGCCATGACAATTTGAAAAATGTCACTTTTACTAGGAGATAATGTTGATATTTGAATTTGTTTTAGGTATTGAACAGCTGTTACAAGGACTAAAAGTGAAAAGCATTCTAAAAGCCCAGGAACACTGTTGTTCACACCCTTCCCCAGTACACACTAAACTGTTCGACACATTTCTCTTCATACATAGCAAGCAACAGCACCCAATAAAAGCCTGAGAAGAAATGCTGCTGTGTAAATACTGCAACTATTCCTGAAATAAGAATTATGGGATAGATACTCCAAAGCTGCCCATTCCCATAATTTGTATTGCATAGGTCACATAATCACACACATATATATACACATATGTGCATATATATGTACATGCAAAGAATATATTAAGACGACAATGAAGTCTAGTCACGGAGCAATTTACAGGCTCAATATATTTTTTACATTTTGCTTGAAAGAAAATTTCAATATTTTACAGTCTTTCAGTAGGCATTATATACACTGCACTTTATGAAATCTAAAGGGTATGGAAATAAATTTTTCCGACATTTTGGTAACAAAACACACAATGTTTTTTTCCAAATACTTGTGCTATCTACATGATCTGTTTGCTCTGATAATCACTAATCACAAAAATTGACTCAATGGAATAATTAGAAAAATTTCTAACACCATGCATGGGTTTGACTCATTTTTAGTATCCTATCCTAGAAACATTCTACAAATCTCAAGATTTAAAAAATTAAGTCTCTCTTCTGATTTTTAAAAGATATCTTTTATGACAATATCCATAACATTGACAAGTACATGTTAAGGCTAGCATCATCTTCTTTTGCGAATTTTTTTGTGTTTTTTGTTTTTTTAAGAAAGATAGCAAAAGCCAGACTCTTAGGGCTCTGAACTGTACCGAGAGAAAATGAGTGCAGTGCACATAATGTGCAGTCCTACAGTCAGGATGCAGTCGCTCCTTCCCATTCCACAAGATACTGCACCTTTCCATCAAGAGTCACCCGACGAGCCAAAACTCGGTATTTTTCGCCACAAGCTATTCTACCTGCAGCACCAAAGTAACTAGTAATGGAGTTTTTCAGGTGATTGAGTTGTAACTCCTGATCTGATAAGTTATTCAGGATTTCTGTGTTGAGTTCTTCAAATTGATAATCTTCTTTCCCTTCGTCATCTTTTACGACTTCTGAGTTCTGAGTCTGGAGTGCTCTTCTTGGAAGGCGGCCTCTTCTTCTTCGCAAGTGTGGTATTGCAGCAGGCCAAGATCTGCCTGTGCGAGTTCGTTTTCTAGAGTCAGATAATCTGTGGAGAAGGAGGAGGACACTATTGTCTGCTGTTGGTTTTCATTTGGGGATTATTCCCAGACAGGACCTCATTACATAGACCAGGTTAGCCTCAACCTCATCATCTTCCTGTCTCAGCCTCCTTAGTGCTGAGGTTAAATATAAGTGTCACCACCCATCCTTGGCTAAGTTTTTTTTTTTTAATATTTTAATCATTATTTTTATTTTATGTGTCTGAGCATATTCCCTGTATGTATGTAAGTGCATGTGCAGTGCCCCATGGAAGTCAGAAAACGGTGTTGGATCCTCCGGAACTGGAGGGATGGATGGTTGTTGGCCATCGTGTGGGTGTTGGAAACCAAACCCAGGTCTTCTGCAAGAACAGCCAGCGAGTGCTCTTAACTGCTGAGCCAACTCTCCAGCCCCCTCAGTTAAGGTTTTAAAATAACATTTGTCTAAGTTATGTGTGCCTCTCTCTATGAGAAGTATGTATGCTGCTGACATAAAAACCAGCCAAGCCTGCTAGGCATGGTGGTGCATGCCTTTAGTCCCAGCACTCAGGAGGCAGAGGCAGGTGGATCTCTGTGAGTTCAAGGCCAGCCTGGTCTACATAGTGAGTTCCAGGACAGCTGGGGCTACAGGGAGACCCTGTCTCAAAAAGACCGAAACAAAAAAAAAAAAAAAAAACCCAGCCAAGCCAGAGTATAAAGGTCACCATCACAGTCTTCATGCAAGTGCTACCATGTTCTTAGGGTTGAACTTTGTTGACCCTAACTATGTACTACTAAGCTTAAAAGAATCAGAGGAGGACTGAAGATGTAGTCTAGTGGTAAAGAGCTTGACTATCACGTGTAAGGCCCTTTATTCAATCACCAGCACCATTAAATAAATAAATAAATAAATAAATAAATAAATAAATAAATAATAAATCAAAGACTCACAAAGATTTTTTAAATCTTTTTTTGATATTTTATTTATTATTTTTATTTTATGTGTATGCGTGTATTGCCTGCGTGCAGGTAAGTACACCCATGTCATGCAATGCCTGTGGAAGACAGAGAGGCTGTTGGAACCCCTGGAACTGGAGTTATAGACAGTTGCTAGCTGCCATGTGGGAGCTGGGATTCGAACCCCTGTCTTCTGCAACCAGTGTTCTTAACCACTGAGCCATCTCTCCAGCCCCTACACCAAAGATTTTTAACAGAAGACCAAGGTAGTAAATTCTTACAAAATGCCAAGTCAGATATTGTCAACAATTTCATCATTTAAAAAAAGGGCCATTGGGGCTGGAGAGATGGCTCAGCCGTTAAGAACACTGGCTGTTCTTCCAGAAGACCCAGGTTCAAATCCCAGCACCCATATGGCAGCTAACAACTGTCCGTAACTCCAGTTCCAAGGGATCTGACAGCCTCTCTGTCCTCCGCCGGCATTGCACGACATGGGTACACTTACATACATGCAGGCAATACAAGCATACATATAAAATAAGATAACAAAAAAAGGGCCATATACTAATTTATTGCAATACTGAAAAAGCAGCAACTATATACAAGAAGGTGTTTGATATACTTAAATACAGAAACCAAATAAAGGTTCTTATTCCCAGTCAAGACCTACTAAAGGACTAAGTTAGAAGAACACATTAGAAAGCAGGGTCTATCTCCGACTCTTCACTTATTAAGTGCTGATCTAGATAATCCTTGGGATCCTTAGTATAGAAGTGCAATGAGTTTATGATCTTATAACAAAAGGAAAGCATGGCATAACAGCTACACTTGAAGATTTTACAGTCATGCTTCTTGAGTTCACAACCCAGCTCTGTTATACTTGAGACGCTGGGTTTGTCATGTAACAAACTCTAAGTCTCAGTTTACTAATCTACAAAATAGGAATGGCAGAACATTTGACCAAAAATGTGTTAAGAATTAAATAAAGACAATGTATATAAAAGATTTAGCAGTTCAGAACCAAAAAAAGCCTCATATTCAATGTTCATAAGTATATGAGTTATATTTTAGCACTTTAATTTAAA